ATTCAATTGTTTCATTACACCGAGGAAAAAAGCCTACTTCCGGCAACTTCACTTTTGTGTACTCCTACTACTCTACGATACATAACCCTTGGAATGCATAAGATACTCTGTTTGTCGAATTGTATTGTTTAGTATATTTTTGAAGGTACCTTATTAACACCAGTACACAAGTCATCCGATAAACCATTAAAAAGGTACAGACAAATGAAAACAAATAACACAATCATTACTTATATTAAGCCAAATGGGTTGCTCATGGACACCAAATGCAATGTATGGTAGAGTGTCCTAGTCTTATTGAACATCAAATCAAAGTGGAGGTTATCTGCAAAGAAATGCCCATTTGTGGTGTAGGTCACTTCCTATAACAAAAAATTTGAGTTGAAATAAATTATTTTCTTCTTATTTTCTAAAAGGAATCAAACAAATCGTTAGAATAGCAGACAATTCTTCTGATCCAAGTCATTTGTTTTTGAGAATTATTATGCAATTTCTTCACACATTGAAATTAGTAATTTCACAACAAAATTCATAAAAAGGGTCCACATGAAACATTATTCGTGACTTAGAGGGCATCATTTTTGTGTCAGACTGTGAAAACATGGACTGAGAATAACCATTTTTATCCATGCCATCAAGAACTACATAAGATGAACACCGACTTGTAAGCTTGTGTTGTATTTTTCCTGTATATAATTATGAACTCTAATGTAATTTCAGCACTAGAATGGTATGTAAATCTTAGATAAGCATTGGTGAGTAGGTTTATTTTTTCTAATGACATATTGTATGCTTAATGTGTTGAATCGAAGCTGATTGACAAAACATAATTTGGGCAAGTAACATTACTCAATTGCTGACAAAATATATGCTACCTCAATAAACTCCTCGTGGTATTCATCTTGTTTAGACGGATCTAAACCCTGAATTTTATGGGCAGTGCAATATTTTCATGTTTTGAAGAACATATTGAGTGTAAATATAACTTATTTAACCATCATATTACTTAGTCCTATAAAATGTCCCTGCTCTGCAGCAAAATACAGACTGAAATGTTGTTGCAATCCAAATCTATACAAATTATAAGACTCGATGCACCAAATTACTGATAAAGGTCGATTTAAGTTCGTGATCTCTCCTGCAAAATGTAAATAAATTTTCAGTAACTGAATGTAAAGTAAACAGCGTTATTTAAAACAATGAAGCAAAGAGGATTACGGGTCATTTTTGCAGTATGAATTTCTAAGTATTTCTATGAGATGACACAGACAAAAAATCACTGAAAATGTACATAGACCCGAAATTAGAAGTGAATGTATAAATGGTTATTTGAAAGTGATAAAGTTGAATATATACCAGGTGAACATAAATAGTTAAACGACTCAGATATTTTCATGATGTCAAACATATATATATATATATCATATTTTAGATCCATGCATTATCTCAAGAAAAGGTATATAAAATGATAATTGAGTCAACTAGACTCCCTGATATTAAGGGTAAAATCAACCCGTACAACATAGACATGACAAGGAATAATATGAGCCTAAACGATACTAAAATTGAAACATTTTTTTGTCAACAGTAGATCTACGTATTTTATCTTATTGTGAATGGTAGCTGATTGAAATCAGAACTTAATAGAACACATGGTGTCGATGCTGGGGAAGAACAATGGCAGCTAAAAACTGTTAATGGTAGGATGAAATATCAGGTCCCTGGTTTTGATTTAATTTTAGATGCAGATCAGATACAAGAAATAAATTGCAGATAACTGGCCATGGGGTGGGGAATCTAGGTGGATAATATATCAGTGTAATCATTTTAACCTTTAATGAGACTGCTGGTCTATAGACGCAGCAGAAGTGATATAGTATCGATTCTGAAGTAATAAATAAACAAAGATATATAAAATAAATAACCAGCGAAAGGTTTGTAAGTTGTATGATAAACGAGATGATTTCAACTTTGATATTGTGAATTTTCCCCATTTAGACAGTAATATTCCATTAAATCCAGCATATGGGGTCTATGTATCCCAGCTTGTTAGATATGGCATGGCATGCTCTAAATATTTAGATTTTAAGTCAAGACACAATACTTTAGTGATCAAACAGTAAGGTCAAGGTTATGATTCTATAAAACTTAAGAAATTCTTTCTGGGCTTTGCTGAAAAATACAAATCATTAATTTCGAAGTTTCAAGTTTTACCACTTGAGATGCTGAAGGATGTAGGAATTGTTTAAGACATTGGCAATGAACTCACAATATTTTCACTTGGCACCTTTTGAGGTGGATCCCGGCTATAGCATTAATGGTTGAGAAATAGGGATCGAAACCAGCCATAGTTTTCTCCTGATGACCATTGTGAATTATTGTGTTTTATGGATTATGGCGACGGCTTTTGTGAATGGATGTTGAACCTTTGAAACGCCTATGGACTTGGAGACTATTTGAGACTGCTCTATCTTGTATCTACAACTATTTTTGAGGTTATGACTTGGCTATCAATTGGCTATCAATTTCTAATTTTTTCTTCAACATGTATTGTAATGACTTCAGTATGAATGAAATGTCCCTTGGTCTTCTGGTCTTGGATTGTGATATTGGTTCTTAAATGGTGGGGGAAAGGGGGTATTAGACATTGTTTCTTTTCACGTTAGATCATGGTTTTGGGCTATATGGGGTTTGTTTTTCTTGACTGGTATGCACTAAGAGTTTGCTTTTTCTTGCTAAGTTCCATTACAACTGTTGGTCCTTTCCCTTTGGCACGAGTGCTTATATATTTACTATGTTTCAGCAACCCAACCTACAGTGCTACCCCAAAAACGCAACACGCAAAAACATTTCAAAACTCAGAACCAGTGATAATTACATCAATTTCATTTAATTTACCATGAAGCCACGTGTCTCATCTTTCCAATGATATATGTCAGTGTTTTTTGTGCATGGGTGAAAAAGCCTTTGTGCCAAGTTTTGAGATATCCTCAGCCAACTGATCCTATTGTGCAATCGGGTAAATCACTAAAGGATGGGGATTAAATTCTGGTCACAAGAGTTACATAACGCACGTTTCAGATTTAGATTCACTTAGAAAATGGTTTAACTGTACGTGTTCATCGGTATCCTCGATGGTCCAGTTAACATTACAAACATATGGACATAACGTCACAATCATTGCAAGTGCCCGTCATCTTATGAAAGATTGATCGTGAACGATTATATTCCATGCCCCTTCGCATTGCCACCATTTCTCTACACACAGAGATTGGCTCGTCTCTCTCAGTCTCCCTGTAAGAAGGAATACATATAGGTTATTTACTGGGAGGGATTGAATATGGGTTTTATTCCAAGGGACAATATGATATTTACCGAAGTGTAATATGATATTGACCGAGGGAGCGCAGCGACCGAGTGTCAATATCATATTTTCCAAGGTCAATATCATATTGTCCCTTGGAATAAAACCCATATTCAATCCCGACCAGAAATAACCTATTTATTCCATAATACATTCCTCTAAAATATTACATTTGGATAATGCTTTATCAAGGTTAAAATAACCGGAAAACCAACAATAGGTAAATACGTACGTTCTAATACGACTTTTTTCCCGGGGACAATACGTTTTTTTCATGTAATACGCCCCAATACGATTTTTTCCCGGGGACAATACGATTTTTTCATGAAATATGATTCAATACGATTTTTATTCCTTCATATTTCCCTGGGAAAACAGTAGTATTATGGAATAAATATTTGTATCATCTGTGGATTCTGGCATGGCGGAGAGCAAAAACCTCATTGGTGATTCTGTGTAACTCTAAGAATGTCTAAAACTTTGTCCAGAGCAGATTTTGGCCCGTTGTGCAAAAATAATGATTATTCAGCGGTCTGTGTTCATATATGAATAAATGACATTTGGAAAGAGGAGGCATGGGGCTTCATGGCAAAATAAGTGAAATTGATCCAATCATTGAGGTTTTACAATGTTTTTGCTTGTTGTGTTTTGGGGACTCACTGTATAGTGATGACAAAAGCTTTGAAAAGCGAATGAAATCCGCTTCCGCTATTGGATTGGGAAAGATTTTAGATATGCTCAGAATAGTAACAGTAACACTGAACGAGGCTTAATCAACCAGCATTCTTCTGAGAAAATGAGGATTTCAGCAAAGGTGTATTTTAAGTGATTTTCAGTGATTTTCAGTATGATATTTTGTCAAATAATCGACCAAATAAATTGCATATTAAAGTGTATTAAAGTGTATTTGTGCATTTATTTATTGGCACGGCCACTGATTATCAGGGCATGGCCTTTTATAACAATAACAATATGAATATAGCTAACAGAGAATGTATGAAAATGTATAAAGAAGTACATGAGTACATGTTAAGTACAAAACCTCTTCTATTTATCATTAATCATATTTGGATCTTGTCTGTGCCTAGTATTTTTCAAGTCATATTTTTCTTTGGCATCATTGTTGAAAACATGGCGACATCCACTGGTTGATCATTATGTTATCATCATGGGATGTCATGAAATTCTTATTACCGGCTGTTTGATTCTCAACCATTAAAACTATGTTCCTGGGTAATTTTAAATTCTAATTAATTTTAAAAGGGGCTATTAAGAAGGAGATTCTATCCTAACTGAGGCCTTTCAGAAAAGATTGTTTGCCTCGACTAGTTTTGAATTGTACCAGGTCGCTCAATAAGAAAAGTGATATGATTTTCAATGTTTCTCACTAACACTTCAACAGTAAAAATAATCACATTTGAGCTTCCCATTATGGTTTTAGAGCTCAGCACATTAGTAATATAGGAAACAAGCACCAGCATATTTTTAAAACAAAATGTCCATAACATTTAAGATATATGAAACGTACTTCATGATAACTTTAGGAAACTTAGATAACTCGTAAGATAACTTTATGACATAGTTATGTTTTTTATTGAGTATGTATTGATGGAATAGGTACAAAAATAAAAATGAATATAATTATTTTCAGCCATTTTAATTATCCAATAGATCAATGACATTTGAATCACTTGACTGGACTTCTTTCAAATTTTGTTGTTACAAGGATTTCATCTTGCACACTGTCGCCAAGATGTCATCAAATCTGTTCAACAAGTCATCCATGCTGTTCAAAAAGAACAGATTGGTCTCCAGCTTCTCTTTGTCACCTGGATATCTATTCTCTATCTGAAAAACAAATTACATTTTGTATTTGAGAGTTTTACTGCACATTTGATTTGATCTTCCTAGCAGATACATATTTTCTGTTGGTAAGCAATACAGACACATTGAAACAACCTGTTGTTTGTATTCTTTAAGTTGTATATTTAATTTATACCACTCTGTATATTTGTGATTCAAAATACTTTGTTGCTATCCAATAATAAATTTGCACCCTTCATTTTTAACAGATTCAGTGATAAAAACTTACCATTCCTTTCCATTCATTTTTGCCAGCTTCTATCTTTGCTTTGCCTAATTCCTTGTCTTTCTTTTTGTCACTTTCTAGCAATCTCAATGCTGGCATGTTAGGCAATCCTACTAATACCAAATCTGTTCTTCCAGATGTTAATTTTCCAGCTTAAATAAGTACATGGCCAACTATGAATATGTCCCTACCACAATGGATTGTTTGATGCAATGTTCAGTTTCTTATGTTGTTCGGAAAGTCAAATTATCAATAACTAAATGAACATGAATATCACTTTAGTCTGATAATTGTTGATGGTCAGACTTACAGAAGGACACAGCGAGGACGACTGGATAAATAGGCAATTCAACTGGCAAATACGGCAAATCAAAAAATGAACATATAAGCACAAGCGCCAAAAGAGGAATATTAAAAGAAACAAATAATACCGAGTAAGCAATATGTAATTTGAGATATTATCATTGCACTAGAAAATACAATAAACAATGGTGCACATGTTATCACCATCCTCACCTTCCTTAATTGTTAAATGTGAATATTTATCTTGTTTTTTCGGATCCTTGTTTAGATATGGCTTTATGTTTGTCACACCATCCGTTATCATTATAATCAGATTTTGAGCATCCTGCCTATTATGCTCATTGTTGAGGTACGTCATCTGAGTTCGAGCATACTGAATTGCTTTGTGGCTGTATGTCCCATCACTAGTTGTAGTTGGAATAGCCTCCAGTGCTATAAAAGCAAAGTTTCTGTTTAAAATACATATAAATCATAGGTTAGCACAAAGACTTAAAATATCAACAACTATTGTATGATGTTTCATTCTACATTACCTTTTACTATGCCCTCAATATCTCTCTGTACTTTATTTCCTTGCAGATTTAGTTCAGGTATTTGTTTAGAGTTGTATGAAAGTGCTCCTATCCAGGTTTCTACAGAAGTCGACATTATTTTCCTGCTGAGTTGAACCAAGAAATCTTTTACTTTGCTAATGTCCTCTGCAGCGATGGACAATGACCGATCAATAACATAGATAAGGTCCAATGTAGGCACTCTGCATTCTACAGAAACAAAGTAAAAAAATCATGAAGCTTTCAATTGGAAATTAAGTCACTCTTCACTGGTCAAATTGAACATCTAGGGAACATTTTGTAGATGAGTGTTTGTCATAAGTCCTTAACCCTTACACCTTCCGTTAGTTGATTAAAGTATAACATAAGTGAAAATGTGAAGGCAACATGTTATCCTAATTCAACAACTTCCTTTGACCCAATTTTTCAAATCATTGTCAATCACCATTCGGGACTTAGTTATCCTCTACCATATTTCTGTTTCTAAAATTTAAACCAATGAAAATATGCTAAATTAAGATAATTTAGCTTGTATTCGCAAATGCGACTCACGCCTGTCGGCTACTGTATTAAGCTGCTATGTTATGGGTAACTCATTAAAAAATATATAGTACCTGCCACTATTTCATTCATATTTAAATGAGTTGGTCATGAAATAGTGGGTTAATCCGGTAGCCGACAGATGCATTGGTGTAAAATATTACTAGAATAAACGGCGACTAAACAATGTATGTTTGTGACAACTAAAATATTATTAAAATAAATTCAGTTTTCTGAACCAGTCTTTCAAAATCAATTTTTGAAATCAAATTGATAAAATTCACAAAGAACATTATGGTAACATTGGATAAGACTAAAATATAAGCCTAAGTGGTTTGAACTTTATAAGAAAAAGATGTTCCACTGCACTTGTACCCTCACTAGGCTAAAATATAAACCTAAAATATGAGGGTTATAAAATGCAAACCTCAAGAAGAACCACATGACTATGACAGGGACAAGTGATTTTTACCCCGAGAGTGCGATATTTTACCGGATCGTGCAGATTTTGCTGATTGCTGTTTGGTTGCTACATGTTTAAATACTCATATCATAGAAAAATTACCAGGCGGTTTATCTTCGCTTTCACATTTACTCAGTACATTAACAAAACTTAGTCTGTGATCGGCATCGAAGTCCATGCGAAGTACTGGGTTGTACAGGGCGTATTCGTCATCACCCTTCCGATCATCATCTCTCCCTTGGATATAGTCATAGAATTCAAATGTAGCGAATATCACACCCTTGCTTTGTAAGTTTTTGATAGCAGTCGTTGTCTTTGTTAAAGTTGCTATCATGTTGGTTTTCAGATCAAACGAAACACCATCACTAAGTACCACCACCATTTTTCCCCTGTAAGTAAAATAAAAAATATATATCAAGATGGGAAAAATAGCGTTGTAATGTTAAATGTGTTTCTCTGTAGAGCTGCTTGCTTGGTACTTTGGTGATTTTGAAGTCGTGAGAAACGTGTAATAGTATATGTCTTTACACCTTTAAACCAGATGTAAAGACAGGCCATCATTTTACAGCTGCAGCGGGTTTAAGAAATACTGATTTCGTTTAGATGCAAGGTCTTTACAAATATATTTCATACTCTTTAGGCCCAAATTACACAATATTGCTACATAATCAACTTAACAACTAATTAAATAGCTTACCTTTTAGTTTTACCATCTGAGAAATAATTGTTTGTGTCAACAAGGTCAAGAGCATCTGCTGTTTTTGCCATAAAATTGTTTGGACAACTATCACCTCTTGAAATCCCCTTCTTCAGAGAAGTAATGAATTTCGAGGGGATTTGGGGTGATATCACCTCTTTAGCCACCTATAAACATGTACCATTGATTAATACATTGCAGTTAAGATGGTTGATCTGGTTCGAAAACAAAAAAAGTGTAAGTAAAATAATTAGTCGAGATGACATTCATATCATAGATAGCCTGCATTATCATATATCTGGTCCAGATATATTTATCTGAAGTATAATTAAATTAACTTTGAAATTGTCAAACTGTTTCATGTCATATGGAACTTACAAACCCTCATCTCGAAACCTTTCACTAAAAACCATAGCTCATCGGTTTCTAAAATGTCATTTGGCTTGAAACAGAACACTGCTGTAATGTACTGACAGATCGTCACCATCTGTTCTTTGGGTTGAGTTAAGGAATTCAGTACAATGGTCAATTGTGAGTGAACTCACCTCATCATATGTGATTAGTGTCATGGTCGAATCTTCATCATCAGACACTTCGCCAACTAGACTGATGATGAATTGTGTGGCTCCATTCACCAGCGAGTCATCAAGGTTGCATGATGTTTGAAGTACAAACACAACATCTACACAATATGTCACTGAAACCGTGATTCAGACATGCAAGAAACTGTGCTGCCAACAGCTGACGGAAAATACAGGGTGACAGAAAAATGCCACCCGCTAACTTTGGAATAACTTTCAAAATGATGACAAAATATATGTCTTCATTTTTGTAGATAGAGTGTTCAGAGAACGAAAGACTGTTTAAATTGTAAAGGCTAAGCATCAACAACTTTGAGATTTAGAGGTATCACGTTTTCCGTCCAGGTATGCTCTCGATGAAATTGGGATTTTAGTCATAGGTTGAGTTCGAGATTGCTTTTCATATTATCATTTTAATGTCATATCTTCCCATTTTGTTTAAATGATTTTGTAAAATTTGATAAACTGACTCACTCATTGAGTTAATCTAAAAACGACAGATTTCTATTTTATATCTTTGAGTGATTTTGTGTCACAGTATACCTCCGCAAGTTGTTGATGCTTTGGAAGCATACCGATCTTTCTTTCATTGAACACTATACTTACATTCTACACATAAAAATCATGGATATTCATTATTGAGAAAGAAATCCCAAAATCAATGGGGGGGCATTTTTTCTTGTCACCCTTTAAGTTGTTTCTTTTCAGTTGAAACTATTTCAAGTCTCTCTTTTGAGGCCCAGACAATGATTTTAGAATGTATAATGTATTTATGAGGACAAATGTTGATCATTAAATGCAGTAACTTTTGGGAATATATTGTGTACCAAAATTAGAAATTTATTCGTTAAAGAATCTCACATATTCGATCAAAACTTGCCATGCAAACATGTTAGTCTACTTTACTGGCCCCCTTTGCTGTAACAAGGAACCCTAAACACATTAAAACGTAAACATAAACCAATTAGCCACTTCACTATGAAAGTGAGGGGTGTTAGCAAATGTGTATTAGCAGAATACGCTGTGTGCATGGACTAACACAATATCAGTGGTCATTTACTGTGTCAACTGTGTAACCATTGCATATCGTGCTCACTCAAGTATTGAATAATTTTTTTATGATCTAAATGTTTGTGGTTTATAAAAAATGTGATATATTTTAGTTAGAAATACATTAATTAATATATTCATTCAAACAGCACTAGAATGCGGGAAGAAAGAGCAATGGTGACAAAATGCAGACAGAATTTTCTGTAAGGGTTTCAAACATTTCTGGACACAATCATACATGTACTTCATGTGTACTGTTATTTTTAGTGCAGTATTTATAGATATAATTTCACGTATTAAAATCATATTTTCCAGCAATGATTTCAAATTCGGAACCACACCCATATCACATTTTCTTCAATAACTCCAAACATGTGTAAACATTTACCATGTGCATATAAATTCAGATTTCACGAGCTCTTTCCTATTCGAGTACCTCATACACCCCTGCATGGATTTGAGTTGGATTCGCCTTTTATACGTGAGCCGATACACATCGCAAACGCTGATTGAATAAAGATTGCGAGAATCTTTAAAATAGAAATCTTCTCATAAAAGTGCAAATTCACTTGTGAATGAAATCACCCCTACAATAATAAGATATCATATCTCACCCTCTTTATCTCCAGAGGCAAGAAGAGGGGCCAAGGTAAATACTATCCAGCCGACAAACATATTCACTTTCTGTAAAGTAAAGATTTTTAATGATAGGTTATTTCATTGATGGCTTAGTTGTTTATGCTACAAACTTTATATGAATATGTTTCACAGTCAAGTCAAAACATGAGTCCAACAGTTCTAGAATTTGTAATGAATAAACAAAACAAGTAATAATTTACATGATACAATAATGTATAAGTTGGAAAATATTTTCATTTTCAAATATAGTCATCCCTGATAATCCTCTCTCTCTATTTCATTGATCCCCTCCCAAGGGGCGGAAATGCGTGGCGTTGTTTTAAAAGCAGATATATGTAGTTTTGTTTGGTATTATCACCCAATGCAGACGCGAGACTCGACATTCACACGGAAATTAGAAAAATGTAGCCACCCATGAAGTAAATTAATTTTTCCTGCTTTATAAATAGTGAATGACAGTCATATTGGGTTCTATAAGTGTGAGAATAGCACGACGTCTTGATATTTCAAGGTAATTCGTTTGAATAGTGATAGCGGTGATTAATATTACGATGGAAAGATAAACCCACAACGAAATATTTGTAGATTTTTTTACCATTAATATTTGAAACACAAATATTATGCGAACATATGATCGGACGTAAGTACATGTATGATGTGTACTTCAAGATAATAAAGTAAGGCTTTGTATAAAAAACCTCCTACCCACGTACCCTCGTACCCACGTACGTGGGTCCTGACCCAGTCTTTAAAGAGTTAAATCTTTAACATTTTTTAAACATTATTCTATTTCAATGTATGCTTAATTATGGATGAATTTATGTACCCATATGCCTTTATTTCTAGATCGGACATCTGTCTCGTCATAAAATAAAGCCGGCATTGCATAATGTTCATTTGAGCTATTTGAGTGTTGTTTTTGATATATCGAAGCGATTTTTTGTTGATCGGGCAGTCTTACAGTGTACAACCAATCTATTGCTTGGCGCAAATTGGCCACATGGGGCATGTGTTGTAAAGTGCTGTAGTTTTTGACTCCATGAGCAGAATATGGTCAAACTTTCACAACAAAATTCACATTGAATGACCTGAATGATTCTGGATTGACGAAGTTCTTCAACTTTTCATCGGTCCTGTTTTTTAACACCCTGTAGTTTTTATCACATATACTTTTTATTCTTTCAAACGATATTACAAGTATTCATTGTTTGCACGACAGATTTGAACTATACGTGTAATTTGTCTTATGTCTTTTATTTAATTTAACATCAGAATTGGAGATACAAAGTGATAGAGTGATCAATTCACACGATCTCAAGGAATAATAAAGGCTGCATTTCTGTTTAACCGTGGCGCAATTGAATAACGAAATATTTGAAAAGTAGAAGGATTCGCTATATTCGTTTTTAATCGCTTTTTGGCACAATTTAAGGATAATTGTGCGCACTAGTTCAGTGAATCATTTAGATGGAATTAAAAGTTAGAGTTGCCAAACTTATGCAGGGGAGTGTAAGTTTGGTTTTGTAAACTTCGACATTATTCATGGCCGTTTGATCCATAATTAGGTAATATGAAGAGTAGAGCTTTATTTTGACAATGATTTGATGTAAAACTGGTTTGAATGATAAAAGTTCAGCTTTGTAGTTTCTAGCTTTTTGCGCGTAAAACGTGAATACAATGGACAACAACGACACCAAATCTTTGACTAACATACGTTAATAACGTATAATATTCGTAAGAATGAATTCTAATAACATTTGAAATAAACATCTAATAAAATGTGGTGAATTTAATTGGTTGGAAACTATATATTTTTAAAAAGATGTCAACTTTTGGACAAGGGTAAACTTCCCGGGACATTTACAATCTGCATGAGGTAACAGGAGGCACGGATTGCACTGAACGAAGGCTAGGAGATTGCTAATCAGCACTGATGTGTTATACAGGTAAGACTGCCCGATCAACAAAAAACATTTCGACATATCAAAAACATAAATCAAATAGCTCAAAAATAGTGAACATTTATGCAATTCCGGCTTTATTTTATTTTACTAGAGAGATGTCAGACCTATAAATAAAGGCATATGGATGCATAAATTCATCTATAATTCAGGATAAACTGAGATTGAATAATGTTTTAAACATTTAAAAATTTAACTCTTTAAAGACTGGGTCAGGACCCACGTACGTGGGTACGAGGGTACGTGGGTAGGAGGTTTTTTATACAAAGCCATAAAGTAATACTAGTGGTATTTGCTAGTACTAGTTGCGTTTCAAATATTAATTGTGTGAAATATGCGAGACCAATGTTAATGCTACCAGGGGGAATCGGACCTGCAGGCCTTACAACCTTACAATCTATACGTGTTTTGTGTTTCGGAAAAATCGATATGTGATGTATATTTTTTTAGTTCTTCGAAGAAATCTACATATATTTTTTCGCGGTTTTATCTTTACGCCACCACCATCACTTTTTAAACGTTGTTTCCTTGAAATATCAAGCCATAGTGCTGATCTCATACGTAAAAAACCTAATTTGCCTGTCATTCACCATTTATTAAGCAGTAAAAATTAATTTGCTCCATGGGTGACAAATTATTTCCTGGTGAGTTTCCTGGTGAATGTCTAGTCTCACATCATAGGAATGTAATTGTAGCCGATCTGTCTGCATCGGGTGAGTACATGTATGTAAACGCTTTGTAGAATTTTCCCACCCGACAATAAACTCATCACCTTCCCAATATACCTGGAAAACATTACAGTGTTATAGATTGACAGCCATCCAGCTAGTTTTCCTGGAATGTGGGGTTAGCCGAAACGAAATATTGTGATTTTGAACAAACGATCTGTGGTCAACGCACTTTGTTGAGTTTGGGGTGGTAATTTTGTAACCATCGAATGTTTCCTCGATGTATCGAGAACATGATGAGTGTATTGGCAGGTGGGGAAATACTGAATATAGAGAGCTTTCGATATAAGTTATTTGGAATACATATTCGCAAACTTGTACTTGTACAAGTCAGGTATAGCACCGGGGAGGAGCTCTGGAAACGAATATAAGGTGCTTTCATCCTTCAAATCATAACAAAATATTTGGTAAGCATGAAGTTCGTGATTTACGGTTTCAAAATATGATTACAACTTAGAAATTAATTCTGCCATTGCTGGGATATTCACAAATCAATTCCCTCGATTAGGAAACGAGGAAAGTACTTTCCTTGATTCTTTGAGAAACGTTCCTCTCCAGTGGTGTTTCCTTTAATTAAAAGTTAAAGTTGCAGTATATGTTAGGCTGAAAACGTATTTCAAAAGTATTAAAATATGCATTTTTATCCCTAATTTCTTTCAAGACTGCATTTTATTTAAAATTGCCCAAGTTGGGCCATAGAGGAACCAAGAAGTGAACTTACCATGTCTGATGATCAATCTGCTTGGTTGACAGGAATGTTTTGAATTAGAGTTGTGATGAATTTATACACAAGTGCTAGTTTGTAATGAATTGCAAATTAAGGGGTAAATTAAAAATAAACATAAAAATAAAAAAATAAACATATTTTATCCATACCATCTGAGAAATTATGAAAACAATTGCCTAGTTATTGATAATATGAATAAATTAAATGTGAGCCATCTGGATTTTATCAACATTTTGCAATTATTATTATTATTATTATTATTAATGTTTTTATTATTCTTAAATCATAGTAATTTACAAAGTACAAGAAAGCAAGACCAATCGCCATTTGGCATTACAGGTCGCTTTAACATAAATATAGTTTAAAAGCAAGTAATAATAAAACAAAAAAAGTGCATAAAACTATTGAAAAGTTTTGTTGTTAATTGCTTAGTTGCTTAGTTGTTGGGGATATTTTGGTCCAGGAGGTTTGGGCAAGTTTTAGATTCTCAATGGGTAAATGTAACATGATCTAACAAAGTTGAGCACAATGTTAAGAAGTAAGTTTTGTGAATCACGGCTAAGGGTATTTTCATAGAGGAGATATTTGACTTGATCATTTCGGTTGGTGTAGATGTTCTCATCATAGAGAAGGTTGTTTTGTCTAAGTGCAGTAATCATGTTTGTCCTATCATCAGTATGGCGGGGGCAAGAAAGGAGAAAGTGCTTAGTATTTTCAGGGGATCCACATGGACACTTGTTGTCGGTTACACCAATAAAATTATGAGAGAAAAAGTGTTCTTTTAAAAAGAAATCGACACGAAGTCTGTTTAAAATCTTCTCATTTGACCTTGTTAAGTTTAGCTTGGTTGTTGGAATGAAATTTATGTTTGGGAGAATTGTTGACCGAACAGCATTTTTAAAACTAGAGATGGTTGGTAATTCTCTTATAAGTTGGCTAAGGTTGTTCCATTGTTTTATAATATTTAAGACAGGGGCTTTAAGGAGTCTGATAGAAACATTAGTTGGAATATTGTAAGGCATAGAATGTCTCAGTAGTCTGGTGGCTGGGTTTTTATATTTGTCAAATATGTCGCATATATATTGTGCTACATTTCTTTTGTTTATTTTGAACATTATCCGAACATTTTTTTCATTTCTCCTTTGACTAAGGGTTTTCCAGTTAAGGCATTGAAAAACTTTGGAGGTATCTGAGCCATGAAGAACACCTGCACATATTACACCTGCTTGATAGTGCAATTTGTCAAGTTTTGCTAATAGGGCTAATGAGGCAGACCCATACAAGGCACTGCAGTAGTCAAAATTTGATGCTACATAGGAGCTATACATTGTTTCAAGGTGTTTGGATCTTACACTATTTGACAGATACTTGAGTGGATTAAGGAGTTTTTGAACTTTCCGTGAAAGATAGTTAATATGGTCTTCATAGGTCAAATTTTCATCAAGGATAAATCCAAGATGTTTGTGTGAAGTTTTACATGGAATGACTTCTCCGTCAAAATAAAGTGACGTTTTTTGGAAGTTTTTGATCCGGTTTGAGTGGAATATGACTTGGGCACTTTTGGAAGGTTTGAATTTAAGGAACCATTTCTTTGACCACAGATTAATTTTATTAAGATCATTTTGAATCT